GAGCTAAAACTTATAAGAAAGCTACCCAATCATTCCGATTAAGGCTCTAAAAACTGGGTCGATAAGATAAAAAAAAATCGTAATAAATGTAAAATATATAGTCCACAACCACATGGATAGACTCTCTGACGCCGCTCAAGCCGTTTTACGGATTGGTTATACGTTTGATGAAGTATTGAATAATATTGATCTGGACAGAGTCTTGGGTAGAATAAATTATTAACCCGAAATTTAACGAAACAAAGAACAATTTACAAGTCTAATTTGAATGGTGTTGTTTATATAATTTAACAATTACAGTAAAAAAGCCTCAGTTTTATGCGGCTTGAAAAATTTAACAAGTCACGCAATTTGAAATCTTAACAACTTGTGGAGATAATAATATGAAGGATCTTGTTTTTAACGAAACAAAAGTAGTATATATAGGTCACCTCTTTTCGAAACTATTTTAAAGGTGAGAAGTAACATAGCTGTACGACTAACAAATGCAAATAATTCTTACATTATTTGGACGTGTAAAAACGGGCGGACAAATAAAGTTAGTTTTGATTTCAAATATCGTTTATTTTTTTTAAAAAAAAACTAGTTTAATATTATAGGTTTTTACTGTTTTATTTGAATTATTATAAGACATTATACTTTTGAATATTTTCGTTATTTTTGAAATATTATTTTAAAACGCGTTTTGAAAAACTTGTAAATGTTTATACAATTAAAACTTTTTTTGAAATGTTGAAAATATAAAAACTTCAAATAATTTGTTATTTGACTTGAAATTCGTAAACTTTATATTTATTAAAAATAAAATTAAATATTTCACTTGTTATAGTATTTTATATTATAAATAAATGATTAAAAGATTTGTCGTTTTTATTTAATTTGATATTGAAAAAATAACTTGAAATATATTAAATTAATATTTAATATCAACTATGATATTTAAATAATATAACATTGTCAATTTTTATAATATTATTACAATAATGAGTTTAACTATATTTATCAATATTCTATAATATCATACTATTTTAAATAATTAAATCATCATAACACGGACTGTGTAATATTTATTTTTTAAATAAAAACTTGAATGTAACTATTTAAATTAAAATGTCTGATAATCAGAAAGAACACCAAAAAGAAAGACCCTTATCCATGACAGAAAGATGGGAACTTGAACAACAGATGAATTGTGCTATATATCAAGCTGATGATTCTTCAGAAGAAGACGAAGTTAAAGAAAAAAAGAATACCAAAAATAAAAAACATACAAATGAGGGCAAAAACAAATAATATTTGTTAGTTCGATCTACTGTTATAATCATGATAATTTGGTAAAAATTATTGTTAATTGATAATTAAAAATTCAAACCATAATATTTTGTGTGTTCGATTGGTATTTTACATTTATTATATATATTTTTAATTCTAAAACCTATTTCATAAAATTGTTATAAAAATATATATATCTGGACAACTAACATTATAAAAACAATTATATATATATATTTAATTGTTTTATTAGTATTATAACTATAAAATACATTAAGTGTTTAATGTAAACTATAACACAAATTTAATATATGATACAAATATACAATTTGGTTATAAATAAAATTTGAAATATCAAAATTTTGTCATTCAATAAGTTGATATTATCGAATTTATTATAAAAACATTGTTATTATTATATAGAATGATTAATATACAATATATTTAATATAACCACACTCCTAATATTCGACAATGACTTAATAAAATACATTTCAAAAAAACAGTAAAATTTTGTTATGATTCGAGTTCGATAATTCAATATCGACTTTATATTTTGGGTGTATAAATATTAAATACTCGTCTTTTTGTTTTTTTTTTACTTTTTTTAGTTTTCGACCACAACAAAGTTTTTTTAGCCGACTTGATTTATATATTAATTTTATTTAATTTTGGTAGTTAGTGTTGTTATAAATTTTTCGTGTCATTCTGACGTGATCTTTCAACACCACAAATTATCATTCATTGTCTCTGACAAATTGTTGTGGCTACTACAAATTAGCTTGTCTTTAATTTACGGGCGTATTAAATAAAGATTTACTTCCTTTGTATTATACAATTTTTCTTTCAGCTACTTTTCTTTCGAGTTAATTTGTTTTGCTTGTTATTTTGATTGAGTTAAGGCGTTTTGTTGTTTTTCTGTTTTAATTTTTACTAATTTGGTGTCTTTCTTTGCTTTCAATTGAACGATTGAATCTCCATTTGCACAAGCGTCCGTTAATTGAATTTCTCAATATGTTATTTTAGCTCTAAGTTTAATGGATTTTCAAGTTTCTTGTTTTATTGGTTTATCCTTTTTCGTTATTTTTTAAAATTTATTTGAGTAGTTTTTATATAAAAATTTGACTTGTTGAGTGGAATTTTTTAAATAATAAATTGTTTATTTATATTAGCTATATTTGCATGTATTCTTTGACTATTTGTAAGTCTTATCAACTTGTTCAAGTTTTCAATTTTATTATTATTATATTATTTCAAGAACACAGTCTTCAATTATGTTGCATTTTGTCTTGTTTTCAGTCAAGTTTAGTCTTGGTTTTTTAATTTATAGTGCAGCCTTGTAGTCATTAAATAACTTTAAATTTTATTTCAGTTGTGACTGTGAAATCAGCATTATTCTTCTAGTACTTTACTTAAGTCAATTGGATCTTTGCGTGGTATTTTTTGGATCAATACCGAGACAAATTCTACTGTTATAGAGTAGATGCTGGAAATCATTATCATTATTTGCAGCATCTTTTTGTTTCTATACTATGTCGACGTAGGCATTTAAATCCTTGTTCGTTATGTTCATTTTCTTCGTATTCTTTTTTTTCTTGAACAAAAAGCAAGTGAATCAAATTGGACTTTAATTGATAATAAATGATGTGAAGTGTTTTGACTTTATTTGCCATATTCTATCTTTATTCATTTCAATCCGCAGTTTCTCGGTTTCAGCTTTGTCTTCCAACACCATCTTCTTTGCATTATCTTATATTTGAAGTCGTAATCAGTCTTCTATTTTGACGCCTTTTCAAATATTTTATGTTCTTCATTAAATCAGTACCTTTTAGTTACAACAACAGTAAATTCCTTGTGTAAACTTAAACTTACACCATCATAACAGTTTTGTATCGTTTTTTTCTCAATTGGGTAAATCTCTTCTTGCTTTTTGTAGTCATATTCATATTAAATATGTTCAACTTTAACTTTGCCCAATCGGTTTTTGTAATACTCAACTTGCTGGTTGCATCAAATATATATTAAAAATATACTTTTAGTTTTTTTTTCAATTTTGTATCGACAATAAATGCAATTTTACTTTTAATCGACAGTATTGTCTCTCTTCAGCTTGTTTCTTTCTTGATATTCAAAAAAGTTTGTCTTTGCAGTTTCATCAAGTTTGAATTGGTGCTCACAACAAAGAGCCTTGTTCTTTTTAATTTCCACAATGATGTTTCCCAACAAATTTTATGCTTTATTCAGTTGTTATCAAACTTTATTTTGTCTTATCTTTGTAGCTCTGTAATCAAGACTGAACTACCTTAAAAAGTGCCAAATTATTATCCACCTTTTTGTTTTAATTTTTTTTATCTATGTCAATTTCAAAGTCTTTATATAGACGTTTCATGTTGTCCCTTGTAGTTACAAAGTGAATATGTGTTATAATTTCAGCTATTTGGATACAATTTGAGTAAATATTTTTGAATACTAGCATAAAAATAGAAGGATAAACCAAGTTCAATGAACGTTTATTAATGTTGGCAATGGAAATGATAATTCTGTTAAAAAAACACAGTTAATTGTAATTCACAGACCTCATCACTGATATTTTCGAATATAATATCAACAATATTAAAAATTAAGGAGAAAGTATAATGTGGGTTTATTTGCCAACTAATCACGGAGCTTTGCAATTAAATACCTAAATTATAATGAAGTTGAAAATTAATTTAACTTTAAACCACCCACATCATTAAATTATTCAAACTGTTGTTTAAAACAAATATAATTATTTTTGAGATACATTTGTTTTCTATATAAATTGTTAAAATTATTTTTTAGTTGATTCGGGGTTAGACATTTATATAGTAAATTTGGTGGTTGTTGGCAAAAAAGTCCATTTTAAACAAAAATATTGTTTTATAATGTTTTCTTTGTTTTTCCTCCAATAATAACAATTTTTACTTAAAAAAGTTCAAATAAACAATTTAATTTGTTGTCCAAAAAGTTCATATTAAAAACAACATTTTTTACAGTTTTATTACTTTAATAATCGGGAATTATAGTTTAAAAGAAAATTATTCAATAATGGTTGATATTTTTAAATCTTGTTGTTAAAAAATGTTATTATTTGAGTCAAATATTCAGGTAAAAACATCGTAATTTTATTATATTTTTATTTAATTTTTTCTTTGAATAATCAACTGAAAAATCGAAGCGTCACAAGAGTTTTAAGACAGCTATCAAAGCAGAAATATTGTTCACAAACCATTTTAAAACGTTTTTATGTTGTATAAATCATATTTAATTAATTATAATCATTTTAAAAACATGTTTATTTAATTTAATTTTTATACAAAATAAATTGAAAAAATAAGTTATTATTTTTAATATAGAATAGTGAAATAAACCCACTTAAGTGAGTAAATTTTGTGAAACTTTGGTTGAACTTTAAGCCAAAATAGAAAAAAATAAGTACAGTAGGGGGAGTGAGGGGCTTGACGAAACTGAGGGGCTTGACCTATCATTTTATTATCTTTTTTACTATACTGAGTTTTCCCGGTTCTATTTATAAAATAACAAAAACTATAAATAATTTATAAAAAATGTCAAAGAAAAAGATTC